TGCATACACTGACCTTCTATTCTCCCATGATTGATCTCTCCAAAGGAATGTATCTACCTAATATAAATGTTCACTTTATATGCCTGTCTCTTGTTTGGCTGGAAGCCACAGGAGTGGGTTCAATTCCAGACCTGAAGGGCAGCTAGGGACCACAGTCTCAGGGGCTTGACCAGGCTCTATCAGACCAGCAAATCTGGTCACTATATATATTTTTTAATCATTTTGAGTTTTGTTCCATTGTTCTCCCACTCTATCCAGGATCTCCTACATAGATCCCCCTCCAAGTGGCTTACAGTGGTAGCCAGGCACCACCTAGTTCTTCTGGTCTCATGAACAGATAGGCTGAGGATCGCATGGTGTACCAGTCGCTTGGACTAATCGTTTCCATGTCTTTGGTTTTCTTCATTCTTCTTTGCTCTGGATGAGGAGAGACCCATTGCTCAATCTAGATGGCTTGAATCCTGCCTAATCTAAAGTGGGATTTACAATCAAAATTTAGGAACTTTTTAAATGTAAAAAGTGGGGAAACTGACTCCAGATAAGACCATGCTGTGCCCTGCCTTATGGTGCTCTCCAGGCCAGATCTGTCAGCAAGTGGAGTTAGACCAATCAATTTGTTTTGCCTGGTTTGATCTTAGAAGCAATGTTTTACAAGTAAGCCATGGTGTATTTCTTTGTGTTGTGCAGACTGTTGTCAGTCAAGTTCAGGAGTTGGCAATTTTTTTCAGTAAGAGATCAGATAATGTTTTAAGCTTTGCAGGTCAAATGCGGTCTGGTGCATCCTCTTTTTTGTAATAAACCTTTAAAAATGTGAAAACGGTTCTTAGCTGCTAGGCTGATATGCACATTCCCCAGTGCAGTCCCTTGTATTGTTGTTTTGTGGTCTCTCGTCAATTCCAACTCATGGCCGCCCTACAGGACAGAGTAGAAATTCCATAACCAAAACAAAACCAAACTCACTGCCGTGGAGTCATAGTGCTCCCTCCTTGGGTTTCCAAGGTGATATCACTACAAAAGTAGATTGTCCAATCTTCCTTCCAAGGAATGGCTGGTGGGTTTGAACCGCCAGCCTTCTGGTTAGCAGTCAAATGAGGCACTATGCTACCAGTGCTCATAGAAACTAAACAGTAATCTTTATGGGAGTAGATTGCATCTTTCTCCCTTGGCACAGCTGGTGGGTTTGAGCCACTAATCTTTTGGTTAGCAGCCAAGTGCTTAACCACAGTGCCACCAGAAGTCTTCCTCCTGTGCTGACTTGTGGCTTGCTCTAGTTGTCCGCTCTATGCCTTGGCTGAAGTCTAGCTGCATTTCTGCTTTCATCCTTGTTCTACTTGTCTGGCCCTGGGGCTTCGTGGACCCTGTAATATCCCAGTGGGGAGTTGGAACATCTGCCTCTGGGGAGTACCCGAGTGCAGGGCTGCAGGTTATTGCTTCTGCTCTGCCCTCCTACATCCTCATCAGCAGAAAATTGGATATTAAGAATGGGAGGGATCCAGAGGCTAGAATACTCTCACCCAACATACTCCTCTCAGTGGACTGAAACCTACAGGGCAGGTGAGTCAGATAGGCCAGACTGAAGGGTGTTCAGAAAATAATCTTGATTAGAATGGGCCTGTCAAGAGACAGATCGAGCGAGCGAGAGCGCAGCGCTACATAATCCATACAGGACTGCCCCTTCCACCAACTGTGGGTAGGCGACTGGCCCCAGAAGAGGAATTTGAAAGTAGACACTGCCACTGTCGGGGAGCACACAGTGTTAGACACGGTGCTCTAAGCTCTTCCAACTCCGACTGCATGCCTTACCCAGAATGTAGTTAATGTATGTAATCAGCGAGCAGTAAACGTGGGGGTGGGGAGGGGAGAGTGGAGTTTGCAAAGACAGGGACGTATAAAGCCTTTTTATTATTCCTGGCATTAAAGCATGAGCTCTGTTCCTTTGTATAGTTCCAACAGAACATTGCTGAGAAGCTCCAGACATTGTTTCTTTGTGCAGCAGTTAGGGAAAGATGAAGGTACTTTCTTTAACCAAAATCCTGGGTTACAGCTGGTGACAAAGCTGGGACCAGAAGCTGTATTCTCAAATATCCAAAGCACACCTTGCTCTTGCCTCTCCATAGTAGTCTCTCCCCATCCCCCTTCTGGGGGAGGAGGCAGTCGTGTCAGAGAAGGTATGGGAATGGTAGGCCAAACATGAACGTCCCTCTCAAGAAATCCTTCTAAAAGGATAAGGAACAGGATTAAAAAAAAAAAAAAAACTTAAACCCACAAGTCAAGGAAGGAGAGGAGATATAATATGCAGGAGGTAATGATTTTGGAAAGCAGTTAAATGACTTGTACAGGAAACCAAATGCCAAGTGTTGGCAGAGGGTGGTACTTAGGCTGAGAGAGGCCGAGGAGTTGGAGGCACCAGAGAGACATGTGTGCTCTGCTGAATTTGCTTATGTTTGATCAGCTACATGCGAGGTAAGAAGCCAAAGTCTGGAGTTCTGGGCATACCAGCTGTGGAACTCAGGAGAACCATGGTCCAAGTAACATAGGTTTTTACCCCCATGGGCTCAGAGGAGACAGCATAGTTTTCATAGGGAGGGGAAGGGCATTCACAGAGACATACTGGGTACCTGGACCCAAAGTGCACAGTGCAGGTAAACAGGAAGCACACTCAATTAACCAACCACATCCTCAGCTAAGGATTGTTCTGTGAGGACAGACTGCACCGAAAACAAGGCCATTCGTCACATTTATCACAGAAGAGCCAGACTTTGGAGCATAAGGTTAGGTGTATAATGCCATCTGGGAATCCCACAACCCGTTCAAGTGGAACAAGTTCCGACTCCACCATCAGTGTTTCACAGGGAGGGAAACAGCTGAACTTGGGTAGATGGGTGAAAAGAAAACCAGCTACTTAAAGAGAGAAAAGATTCAGCTAAGGTGTGTTGGTGCTATTTTGATCACTGATTCATAATGTGAATGTTAATCTTGCAGGACAGTGGGGAAGAAAATTGGGAAAGGTTAATACATAGCATGTGTCTGAAGACTACCTAGAGTCTAAGTTAGGACTCTATGGAAGGAAAATGTCAGAAGGATATTAGAATCCTAAGTCATGGCTATAAAAAGTCTATATCTGAGCTTCAGGTTGGAAGTATAAAATGGGGAGTACCTTAGTCTACATTAGAGTTGTTAACTGCTTTTTCTTGATGTGTCCCTAGCAGAGGTGGCTGCAGTCCTAAGAGAGCAACATTCATACAAGTATTTGTTATTCCTAGGAATGTATTTTTAAAGTGTGAATAGTCTGGGCCTGGAGATTTTGCTAGCTCTTCAGTGTTCTACATGTTTTCCCTGCAGTGCTTTTTCTATGTTCTTTTTAATACTTTTGAAATCAGAGCTGATGAGGGTCTTTACTGTTAGTAGCTCACTATTAGCCTTAACTTAGTGCTTCTGTGAAGAACAGGGCCAGAGATAACCTGGGAGCTAAAATGACTTGCAGAAGCCATATGGCTAGTTGAGTCTCATAATCACTATCTTTGTATAAACTGGAATCTCAGGGATTTCCCTGCTTCATGCTCTGATCCATTCACCTATAGTTTGTCGTAGTGAAGGATGCCTATGCAACGTGTTCGCACCTGGCACACGAACATATATGAAGACGTTACCAGTGTGGATGCCATTATAACTACACAGTGAGCCATGGTCACCAGTATGGCTCACCCCAGTTTAACCTTAATTTTTTAAAAAGAAACGCAAGGTGCCAACTTTGCTTCAACCAGAACCAACTATCTTCCCTACTCCAGAATCTTAACACCAGCCCCTTGCTATGTACTTTTATAATAGCCTGAAGAAGAAAAAAAAAAAGCGGGGGGAGGGCTGGTCCTCAGATGACCAGTAGCACTTTTAATCAGTCAGACTCAGTTAAATAACTGTTGAGCTCTTTTAGAACTAGATGTTTATACTAAGTACTTGAGAAAATCAGACCACCTCTGGTCTGGGCCTTTGCCAGCTACTGAGAACTAAACATGAGCAGCGGTGCCTATTGGACTGGGATTGGATTGTATGCAGCCATGTCAGTGGTTTTCTGAGGACTGCATTTAATGTATGAGCCACGCATTCCTAAAAGTGAATGTTAAAAATTATATTCTTCTTGGATACAGATTAAGGGAAAAAAGTTTTAAAAATGAGAGCAGATCCACTGAAAGTTCATAGGAAGTCAGTTAAGATTCTTTCTGCACCAAAATCCTTAAGGATACACCCAAAGTCAAAGGCAGGCTGACAAGGAAAACGGGAAATGTTCAGGCTGAGTAGTGTGTAGAAAAGTCATAAAACCTGAAAGGTATAGGTGCTATTGAAAGAATACATTCTTTTGTTGGATCACAATTACAGCCTCTATTACTTATTTAGGCAGATAATTATATTTACTTATGAAGTAGATTACTTACCTAGCTCAGTTTCCCTCATCATTCCTTTAAGCCTAGGGAAGCTCATTTGTTTGGTGAATTCCACAAACTCAGCCCTGAGATGGGCCAGAGCAGGGCAACCTGTACTCAGGCTGCTAGTGGTGTACCACCTAAGGCTCAGAATAATGTAAATTGCCTTTGACCAGTGGAGTTTTAACTCAACTTTCAAGGGAAAGAGCTGCATCTGAAAGCTTGTCTAGAAGCTCATAAACAAGGATACCACTGTCTTTGTTGACAATTTGAAGAGTGGAGAAAAGACCTGGTGATCAACTCTTGTAAAGATTATAGCCTACGAAAGCCTAGGGCACATTCTGTCAGACTGGGTCGCTGTGAGTCAGAGCTGACTCAGTGGCAGTGAGTAAATATAACAAGTGTCTGTGGACAAATCAGAGCAGTGGTAAGAGCCCTTCTCTGATAAGCCAGAGCTCACCTCACCTATTTTCCCCTTTGTAACTCAGCTCTAGACAGAGCTCGGTTTATAATAAAGCAAGCAAGACTTTTCAGTTGGTTGTTTTCAAGAACCAGTTTCTTTGTTCTCATCTTTTCTATTAGCTGTATCTTCAAGCCAGGATGAAGGGAGACTGGGCAAGACTCTTACGGCCAACACTGCAATTTGGTCTTCTTGCTGTGTCCATCTACGTGGGTCTTTCTCGAGTTTCTGATTACAAACACCACTGGAGCGACGTGATGACTGGATTCATTCAAGGGGCCGTGGTTGCAGTATTAGTTGTAAGTATACCAGTGCAGCAGCCTACATGTTGATAATGCATCAACATTTGGATATGGAAGTAGAAAAATTCCCTGCTGAGCAAACTCTGCAAAGGCAGAGAATGTGGCACAGTAATTGGTGGTGGGTAAGAATCCCAATAGGAGCTCTGGTAGCATAGTGCCTAAGGCACTTGACTGCTAACCAGAAGGCTGGCGGTTCAAATCCACCAGCCACTCCTGGGAAGGAAGGTTGGGCAATCTATTTCCGTAGTGATACCGCCTCGGAAACCCAAAGAGGGGTTGCTATGAGTTGGGGCTGCCTCGATGGCACATAACAACAAAAATCCCAATGTTATTAAAAGTCACCGTAAGCTTTGCAGCAGGGAAAAACTTTTCTAAAATTTGTAAAACTCCTGTGTATTTTTATTGTAAAAGCTTCTGGATATAAAAATACTTTTAGCCATTTTCTTTTTGGTAAGAATTGGGAATTTTTTTTTTATTAAGTGTCTGCAGAATGAAGCTATTTGGCTAAGGCATAACAAAGCAATGCTCAATTTTGAAGACTTCTTTAACAAAACTTTCTTTAGCTATTAATTTCTTATGCCCTTAATCTGTGTCTTTACAAAACATTTATGCAGCTTTGTGTATGTTTTTTGACTTTATGTTGTATATGTTTTCTGCCTCATTCTAAGGATAATCTGTTCTATACAGGCTGTATATGTATCCGATTTCTTCAAGGAGAAAGATTCTCCTTTGAAAGAAAGAAAAGAGGAGGACTCGCATACAACTCTGCATGAAACACCAACGGCAGGGAATCACTATCGGAACAGTCACCAACCTTGAAAAGTGGCAGAGCACCCAGGTGCTTTTCTAAAGGAGAAGGTTTGCACCCGAAGCACAAGGATGCGCCTTCCTGTTGTACAGGCCTGTGAGGGACTCTACTGCTGCTATTCCTCTTGGATGCCCACTTTACCTGTGTGTACATAGTTACATTTAACACAATGGTTGTGTAATAGCTCTGGGCTCATTTAAAAAAAAAATTCAAGCCTTTCACTAAAACAATGCCCCACCTGTACATTTTTTAATTAAAAATGCAATGCTTATGTACAAATCTGTATGTGATATGCTTTGTAAGAATGATGCCTGATTTAAATATACCACAGATTTAAATGTTTAAGGACATACATCCTGAAATGGGAGAACCAAATGAATACTTGTAAGCATTTGTAGTCAACTGTAACCAGACAAGTGGTGAACAATTTCACATTGCATGTTCCTTTATGCAATGACTCACTATAGGTAAAGGCTTGCAGCAAACACAATATCTCTCTTGATTTTGGTGATGCCTAAGAGAAAAGAAAATAGGGTTTAAACATCAAGATCAAAAAGAATATACCCCATAAACAGCACAACAATCCAGATTAAATAACTGGTGAAAGAAAATAAAAAGCCTATTGGTGTGAAAGACACCTAGAGACGTTCACAGCTATCTCTCAGAGGTGGAAAGCTTAGAAACCAAACCCCTTTGACTCTAAAGCACCCTGTGTGTGTGACTGTGTCTAAAATATCCAAAGGATTAAGTTGTCAAAAGTGGTTAACTGATCCAAAAGCCTGGATTTTCAATCTATATCAGAAAGCAGTATCTTTTTTAGTTACTATGTGAAATTCTTTCTGGACTAAGGCAGGACACATACAAATTTTGGTATATATTCATACATGGACTTAAAATGAGAAATGAGTACTCCTGCCTTGATTATCAACAACATGTAAACATAAGCCAATTTGTTTGCAAACCTCTTCTCAGGACGCTAACTTGCCAGCAGAAATCACTAAGATCGATTGCCTCACTCTAAGATACAATGTGGATGTGCTGTTGTTCTCTGATGCTTTAACTCATAGTTTTTTCTCAAGGCAGAGATTCAAGTAGAAAGAGAAAAAACTATTTAAGTGCTTAAGTCCCTGCCCCTAACGATTACCACCTTGGTCTAGCCATCCTTTCTTGATCTGGTCTTTACTTCTACCTTAATACTCTACAGTCGGCCTGTAACAATTAACAATAACAATTACCCTTGTACAACCCCAGTCAGAGCATACCACTCGTGCACTCAAATCCTCCAATCGTTTCAGAGGAAAAGAAGAAATGCCCGGGGCTGGGAGCTACAAGGTCTTTTCCTTTCTTCCTCCAGCCCCTACTATTCTACTCATTATCAATTTCACTCTGCTCCAGCCACACTGGTCTCTTGCTGTTGCTTAAATGTATCTAACATGTTCCCCACCTCAGCGCCTCACAATGTCACCTGAGACTATATTATCCATTCCCCCCAACTGCCTAATTCTTTTTACGTGCTTTATTTTTTCCTATAGTACTTATCACTATTTGATATATTTTAATTGTTGACTTGTTGATTGTCCATCTACTCCACTAGAATGTAAACTCCATGAAGGCAGGAATTTGTGTTTTTTGTTCACTGCTGTATCTCCTCATGCTTAAAACAGTGCCTACCATTGTAAGATCACAATAAATATGTATAAACCAAAGTATATATATAAAATCTCAAAGCTTTTTCTCACATAAATGCTCTAAAAGTTTACATGCAAGTTACTAGGCATCCTTCCATGGTAATCTATTGGACAGTATCCTCCTAGGTTATGGGCATGAGTCTTACAAGATTTACCTGCATTGATAAGAAAAGCTTATGAATTGGATACTGACCTTCTGCAAATTTATTCTCTAGCTCAGTGTTTCCAATGGCTTTTGCTGCTTGACACATCTGACGGAGCAACTCTTCCAGGCGCCTCATACAACGAATTATGCTGCCTGGATAGAAAAGGAAACAAATCACTTGTAAGTGGAAATAATCAAGAACAGCAGGATTTTAATTAAGAGGCAACACAAAAGAACATGGGATGATTAATGAATAGAATTTTGAGGGATTTCTCATACAGTAAATCAGCCAAAAAACCTGATTGGCCACCTGCTAAATCCTTGGCACTGTGCTAGGCACTTGGAAGGCTACAAAGGTGAAAGGTGTAATTTCCTCCCTGGAGTTAGAAGATGTGGATTTAGTCTAATGTGCTGACACTTGCTATCACAGAAACAAGTAAACAGAACACTCTGGGAGCATTCACCTGTGGGTGAAGGCTGGCAAAGATGCCAAGTAATCTGGGTCCATAAGAATGAGGTCTGTGTCGAAGGTAGGCCACTGATAAGAGGAAGAGAAGCCTGATAAACTGTGGCTGTTCAAAGACCACAAGTACAGCTGACTGGGGTGTCTGGACCCCATCCTGTGAAGATGAGAATGTAAGAGGACCATTTTAATAAAAGAAGTAATATACATCAGATTCCCGATTTTAAAGCTACGTTAATTCTTCTTCATCGTAAAGAGGTGCTTTCACTAGTTTTCTTTACATAGTGTGTCCTCAAGGAAACACAGAAGAGAAGACAAGTTTTTTACCCATGGGATTTAACTCCCTGTCTGAGAAAAGTGTTTATATTAAAGCTGAAGCTGTAATACACTTCGGTCAGACCTGTACAACCAAGCACCAGCCATCCTTTCTCTAAGTGCTACATGGCTAAGTTTAAAGCTCTTGGGACTTCATTTTTATTCTGGAATGCACTTTATTTGGTAGTATCAGTTCTCTCTTATAAGGCAAGCTACAGGAAAAACACACTCACTTGAACTAGGTCTTTACTGACTCCTGGAACACTGGAACAATGCATTAACATTTATCAAATTTTTAAAATATGATTCCATGCTGAGTGTTCCTTTTTTTTTTTAGCTTTTTATGCCCTCCATGCTATGTTTCAGAGTGTCTAAGGAAGGAATACAGGTGACAATTTAACTGATAAAGCAGAAGGGAATTTTAGCTTGGACAAAGGCAAAAAATGCAAGCTTTTATCTAACAGCAAAGCAGAATCCAGCAGGGCATCATCTCATCTCATCTCCGGGAAATATGAGGAAATAGTCCACAAGGGCCCTGAGCTAATGAAGACAACGTGTCTCGTTTCTGAACATGCCTATGGGCCACAGCAATGAGAACACCAAGCTGTAGTTAGGTATGTTTATGGGGCAAGACTGGTCAACAGGAAGAGGACCACTACTAGCACAGAGGTCACTTCAGAGGAAGTACAGGGATATCCTACTTAAAAGGATTACATACCATCTATATATAGGAGTTGAACAACAAGTTAGAGGGTAGAAGACAAGTTAGTAACTCTGAGATCTAAGCCCTTAACCCATTCTTTCTTCCCCTTTTCACCTGTTAAAATTAATTAAAAAAATATATGTATACACACACACACACACTCTGACTCCTCATTTATCAACATGGTTAGGTTCCAGAGACAAGGTCAGTTACACAAAAATCAGCATTATGTGAAAATGGAAGATGACTCCATCATTACGTAACTGCAAAACCACTGAGAATCACGGGCCAGCCACACATGACCTTAACCATCAGAGCCAGCAGCATTCTTGCCTCATTGCAGCATTTGTTTCTATCAGACATACGTCAGTACTGCACAAACCATACAAAATGCTGGATACTGAGGCAATAAGTGAAGAGTAGGTGCACTGTACCTAAAGTGGATAACTTGTGTCTGAGAGAGACACAAGTTCTTCAAAAGGGGCAAAGCCCTGAAGTAACAAAAGGCTATAACATAGCCCATTAGCCAAAATATTCAAAGTCTCTAGCTTTTTTGTCCTTCTTCCTCTTGCCCTATGAAAATATGCATGCAATTGCTAGAGAAAATCACCAGCCCTCAATTACAGCCTATTTCCAGTATTTTAAATAAATTCTATCAAAATTAATTAGCTCCCAGGAAAGTTTATTTGATGACAATCAACAGCAAAACATGACAGCCAGAAAAGAGACAGACATTGCAAAAAAACACCAGGGACAAGAGTGATACCTTATCCTTCTCCCCCCACATACACTCACATCTTGATAGCTAAAATGAGGCTGAACGTGTTTTGAGAGTCATGTTCGGCATTTTCTGAGCACATTTTGTGGCAGTTCTGTAGTCTGTTTTATGTGAAGTCTCTTGGTTTGGTCCTCACAATTCCATGAGACAGATACTGTTGTTATTTTACACAGAGGGAAAAGGAAAAACTCAGAGAGAGCTTACATACATAACTTGTCCCATGTCAGAACCAGGAGTAAATAAATGATGGAGTCATGATTTGAATCCAGACAGTAAGATTCTAGAGACGAAGCACTTAACCGTATTACATTATACGGCCTCACATTAAAATGATCTATCTGTACTTTCCACCACTCGCCTGTCAGTTTGTTATACTGTGGTGGCTTAGGTGTAGCTGTGATAGTGGAAGCTAAGCCATCGGTATTTCATATACCAGCAGGGTCACCCACAGTGGACTGGTTTCAGTGGAGCTTCCAGACTGTGACACACTAAGAAGAAGGACATGGCCAGGTCCATTACTGGTTTAAAAAAAAAAAGCCACTGAAAACGTTATGAATAGCAGGGAAACACTGTCTGATTTAGTGCCAGAAGGTGAGCGCCTTACTAAGGCTGGAAGGCATTGCATGCAAAATACAACTGGGGAAGATCTGCCTCAAAGTAAAGGAGACCTTAAAGACATGGATGGAATACACCTTCTGGGACCTTCATTTAAGCTGTGGCACACCTCAGCTACTAACATTGTTAGTAATCAGAATATGGAATGTACAGAGTATGAGTCTATGGACACTGGAAGTTGTAAAATAAAATGCAACACACAAAGATGGATGTCCTAGGCATTAATAAGCTGAAATGGACTGGGATTGGCTATTCTGACCTGGACAATCATGTGGTTGTCTATGCCGGGAATGACAAAGGAATAGCGCCACATTCATTGTCAAAAGATACATTTCAAGATTTATACTTAAGTGCAATGCTGTCATTGAAAGGATAATATCCATATGCCTAAAAGAAGACCAGTTAATGTGACTATTAGATTTATGCACCAACTACTAAAGCCAAAGATGAAGAAACTAAAGACTTTTGACCAACTTCGGCAGTCTGAAATTGACCAAACATGCAAGCAAGCTGTATTGATAATTACTAGTGACTGGAATGTGAAAGTTGGAAACAAAGCAGCAGCAATGGTAGTTGGAAAATACGGCCTCG